CTATAATGTCATTCCATTTTTTTAGGAGATTCTAGACCAGCTTCAAAGCTGAGATTCTTTCTATTCTTCACTTTGCCAACAAAAACCTTTATTAATTCTGTAGTCCTCTAAAACCCTCACATACTTTTTCCTTTTCTTAATAATCTGATCTGACTCCTCCTTCTCTAAATGCTTTCTAAGACTCTCAGATTTTTTCTTCTAATCCTCTGATTCTCTATACTGGTTCATTTTTTCCTTTAAGGTTGTAACCTCTTCATCTAATCTGAGAAACTTGCACTTCTTCCAAGTAATAAGAAAACTCAAGAGGTTTAAACTTGCCTTGTTAAAATAATGAACCACTCAGTAGTATCTGATTCATCAGTCTGGGGGGCCACCTCCCACCGTAAACTTCTAGAAACCATATTATCAGAAATATCTGTCCAAAAATACCACATCCCAATTAGTGTGTAATTCTGCAGTAAGTAAATTCTTAAGCCTTAAAAACATTCCTCCAATATCAGTATGGATGTTACCTGTACCATTAAACACATTTTTTTAATTAATAGCATGTGAAGCTCTAATATACATACGTCCGTTCTTAAAAACACCAAGCAGCAAGTATAAAGCCAATAACATAAGATAATAACAAAAACAACCTGCGCTAGGTGTAACGTGAGTGGTGACACAGTAGCTGACAGAAATGTAGTCAACAAACAATAAATATGATAAAACAAGGTGCAGCACTAATTCACCCTGATTAAAATATCATAAACATATAAAATGAATGATCATGTACAGTCCTCAAAATAAGTCCATAATCTGCAGCTGGAAATTACATATAGCCCATATCCATAAAGACAACACTACAATAAATGTAAAAAGTATATTAAAAAGCACAAGCATCACAATGCACCGTATGTGTGTGTTGCACTGGTGTTCTTTCCGCTCTACTGTTGGGGTGCCTTTCAAATTAAATGATACTGCAACACACCATATTAGAGAGGTGCATTGCCATGCTTTGTGGTATCACATGGTATAGCGTGTGTTTTAGCGTGTGTTGCCACATGCAGGTGTGATCAGGCTCTGAGGCTTTTACAAGTAATGCTAAAGAGCAAGTATCAAGGAGCAGCTTATTTAGTGTTAGCCAAAGAAAATCGTGCACCCCCCTGATTTTGATTCACTAAAATATCAACTCCTCTGTCCCAGATAGATTTTACTCCCATTTCCTCTGCGCAATGGGAAACTGTTCTTTTGAACATTAAAGTGCTCTCAGTGTTCATCGGAAAGCTTCTATACTGCTCTATAAAGGAAAAACCTACTTCACCTACCTTGTTATCCAATCAGAAACACTGTCTGGATATCACAATGTTTTACAGAGTGACAACTCCAACAGTAGGATTTGGATCACAATCAGTGTTGTCACCCTAACATCAGCTATTAAAGACTATGGGGGAATGACCTGCACCTAACGTTCCAGGAAACCTTAGCACAATTTTTCCATACAATTTACATTTTGGAGGCTGCTCTTGAGCTTGGAAAATTACCACCAAAGACTGTCTCCCATTTAGAATCAATTTTAAGATAACCAGTTTCTTCCATTTCTGTATTAGACTTTACATTTAACCTGTGATACTAGTCTCAGAGGGGCACACTGATAGCGTAATGGACCCAAAAATAGGAAGGATAGGGCCTGAAATTCAAATTTAGAGGCAGCCAACTGGGGTATCCTTGGGGGGTCCCCCAAAGTACTCTGTTTTTCCAGCACATCTTACATATGACTGATTGGACTGAGATCTGGGGAATTCTGGAGGCCAAGTCAACCCCTTCAAACTCGTGTTCCTCAAACCATTCCTGCATTCATCAAACCAGACCACATTCTTCCATTGCTCCACAGTTCAGTTCTGATGCTCATCTTCCCACTGTAGGTGCTTTTGGCTGTGGACATGGGTTAGCATGGGCACCCTGATGGGTCTGCAGGAACCAGCATTAACTTTTTTTCAGCAATTTGAGCTACAGTATATTAGCCCTTCTATTGGAGCAGACTACATGGACCAGCCTTTGCTCCCCATGTGCATCATTGAGCCTTGGCTGCCCATGACCCTGTTGCTAGTTTGCCAGTTTTCTTTCCTTGGACCCCTTTAAGGGGGTTCTGACCACTGCAGACTAGGGACTTCCTACAAGAGCTGCAGCTTTGGAGTTGCAAAGGGTTAAATGTAGTGCACAAAAAGTTGTAGAGGAAGAAAACCATCAAAACATATGAATTGCATGAAGGGATGAACAGAGTCCAGTTCAAGTCCAAGGTTCAAAGATGTTTTTATTAAGTGATGTGCAATGACAACAGTGCAGTCAGATGGAATAATGACAGGCAATGTGCCAAATAGGTTAAAAAGTTTGTGGTCCAACCAAACCTCACAAACCAGCAAATCCCACAACTCCTGGTGAGATATGGAGGCTTCTAATTACAAAGTCGCATACCCATCCATGCAGTCATGCATGGAGAGGGACTGCCAGTAAGCCAGGGAAGGGAACCACTCTGGACCTTTTTGTGTGCAAAGAAGGAAAGGCAAACCAACCAAAAAGATGGCCTCCTTGTGTGTTCAGAGGCTGCTGGAAGTGATGTTAGTGCTCATCCTGGAAGTTAGAACAGAGGCTGGAAGGAGCCAAGAGCCTTCTCTCACATAGGGTAACGCATTTCAAAACTGTCTGCTTCTTTGTCAAACCCTTTGCTGTGTAGTTTTGGAGTTGCTCAGACCCATTTGTCTAACCTTTAGAATTTGGCCCATGTCAATGTCGCTCAAATATTTACTTTTGCTCATTTTTTCTGCTTTCAACACATCAACTTCAGGAACAACATGTTCACTTGTTGCCTAATACATCCCACCCACTTTCGTGTGCCATTGAACAAGGTACTCAATGTTTCACTTTACCAGTCAGTGTTCATAATGTTATGTCTGATTGGTGTATTCTGTCTTGCTACCTGGCTCCTTTCAACCCTTTTACAGCAGAGCTCAGACTAGCAGAGAGAGGGGCACCAATCAGGCTCTGTTGCACTGCTTATGTTCAGAGAAGACAGCAGACAGAACAGAAGAGTTCCTGAATTACCAGTGTTGTGCTGTTCCTTCATTATCCAATCAGCATTCTGGGGGCAGAGATATGACCCTTGCTTGTGTCACCTTCCTGGCTGAACTGTCTGTCAGAAGTGCATGAATCACAAAAGAGGTTGGACAGAATCACAAATCCTTTGGCAGATAAGACAATTGAATTTCAGGCTCTATCGCTCCATACAATGTCTATTTTACCTTTGTGTTTAGCTGTCTGTTAGGATTGGACGTAGACTTATCTAAAGAAATGTAGAGATTTTAGCACCATAAGGAAATGAAAGATTAAGGAGCTCCTTCTCCGTAACAGTATGAGTGGACATATGTAGGTATGGGGAAACTGCAATTACAATAGGAAAGAGATGACAGCAAAATGAGTGCAAATTGAATAGAATTGTAAAATAAGTACAAAAATAATAAGGTGTGATTCGTGGGATGGAAAAGGCTTTTCAGTGTGGCAGCTTTATTTCGTTTAAAAGTGGAAAAACATAATGGTATAACATTTTAAAAATTTAAATATATTATTATAACATGTATAAAGTTGTGGGGGTCAACTTCCTTTAATACAGATCACCTATGAGCCACACATAATATTCAGTGACTGTAACACTGCAGACATGATACAGGAGATGGTCAGAGACTGAAGGCATATTATGGGACATGGTCCGAGACTGCAGACATACTACATAGATGATTAGAGAATGCACACATGATACAGGAGCTAGTCAGAGAATGCAGACATACTACAGGAGATGGCCAGAGAATGTAGACATACTAGAGGAGAAGGTCAGAGACTGCACACATGATACAGGAGCTAGTCAGAGAATGCAGACATACTACAGGAGATAGCCAGAGAATGTAGACATACTACAGGAGAAGGTCAGAGACTGCACACATGATACAGGAGATAGTCAGTGAATGCAGACATACTAGAGGAGGTGGTCAGAGAATGCAGACATACTACAGGAGATGGTTAGAGATTGCAGACATACTGCAGGAGATGGTCAGAGATTACAGACATACTGCAGGAGATGGTCAGAGATTACAGATATTATACAGGAGATGATCAGAAAATGTAGATAGACTGCAGGAGATGGTGAGAGACTGCTGACATACTACAGAAGATAGTCAGAGACTGCAGTCGTACTACAGAAGATGGTCAGAGACTGCAGGCATACTACAGAAGATGGTTAGAGAATGCAGACATTCTACAGAAGATAGTCAGAGACTGCAGACATACTACAGGAGATGGTCAGAGTTTACAGATATAATATGGGAGATGGTCAGAGACTGCAGACATACTACAGGAGATGGCCAGAGACTACAGACATACTACAGGAGATGGTCAGAGACTACATACATAGTAGAGTATACAGACTATGGTCACTATGGTGAATTTATACTTTAAAAACTTAAATATGATTACTTAGATTACAACTAAGGATGCAGCGATATACTGGTTTCCAAAATGTATCGCCAAAAATAGTGTTATCGGCATTTTGCCTATAGGAAAAAAGGTGTCGTTATTGCCCATCAAAAATGCGCGACTGTGCCGTGAATTGGCTTGCAATTTTATTTTGATTTTACCACAATTTTACCACATTTAGGGTGCGTTTTTCATAGCTCGTGTGACTCAAAAAAACTCAAAATATCAAAACACAACACGTGTGGGTTTTTGATGGGTTTTCAATGCATTTCAGGCCTTGTTCACAGTTTGCGTTTTGTCCAATTTGCAGTGCATTTTGAATTTTTTGCACACATGTATTTGCTGGGCAGATTTAAAAACCTATATGCGCTTTTTGCAGCATTTCCATTGAAGTCTGTTGAACCAAAAATGCAATGTTTTGCATTTAACCACCTTCCGCCGGCCATATAGTACAATGACAAGGGTTCTCTCGTTCTGATAGGACGTCATATGACGTACTTCCATTTTCACCGCTCATGTGCGGCTCAGGGAGCGCACAGTGCGGTGATCGCCGTTGCACTGTGTCCCTCGGACACAGCGGATCACGGAAAGAGCTGAAGATGTCGGCTCGGTCATGTGATCAGCTGTGTCCAATCACAGCTGATCACATGTAAACACGGAAATGCCGGTTATCGGCATTTCTCTCCTCTCGAGGGGTCACGCTGACAGCTCGAGAAGAGAGGAGAGCTGGTAATCAGCTTTCCGCGGAGGGGACATGTGCACTGATCATCAGGGCACTGATGATCAGTGTGCCCTGATGATTTAGTGTGGCCCCAGAAGTGCCACCTGTCAGTGTCCATCAGTGCCAGCACACAGTGCTCATCAGTGCCACGTGCCAGTGCCCATCAGTTCCACATCAATGCCACATATCAGTGCATACCAGTGCAGATCAATGCCACATATCAGTGCCCATCTGAGCTGCCTTTCAATGTCACCCATCAGTGCCAGTCAGTGCCACCTATCAGTGCTGCTAATCAGTGCCACCTATCAGTGCCAGTCGGTGTCGCCTATCAGTGCCGCCTATCAATGCCCGTCAGTGCCACCTAACAGTGTCAGTCAGTGCTGCCTAAGAGTGCCAGTCAGTGCAGCCTATCAGTGCCAGTCAGTGCTGCCTATCAGTGCTACCTATCAGTGCCATATATCAGTGTCATGTATCAGTGCTGCCTTTCAGTGCCCATCAGTGATGCCTGTCAATGCCCATCAGTGCAACCTACCAGTGCCTCCTCATCAGTGCCCATCAGTGCCACCTATCAGTGTCCATCAGTGCAGCCTCATTAGTGCACATCAGTGAAGGAGAAAAATCACTTATTTACAAAATTGTATAACAAAAACTAAAAACAAATTTTTTTTTCTAAATTTTCAGTGGTTGTTGGTTTGTTTAAGAAAAAATAAAAATCCCAGAGGTGATTAAATACCACCAAAAGAAATCTCTATCTGTCTCAAAAAAATTCTAAAAATTTCATATGGGTACAGTGTTGCATGACGCGCAATTGTCATTCAAAGTGTGACAGCGCTGAAAGCTGGAAATTGGCCTGGGCAGGAAGGGGGTATAAGTGCCCTGTAGGCAAATGGTTAAAAAAGTCCTTGACCGTCTCTAATAACACAGCAGCTCAAGAGAGAACAGGAAGGAGAGAGTGAAGCCATGTTTTGGAGCATGGTGAATAAGGGGCCCTGTGAGCTGAGAATCTGATGACATACAGGTGTGAAAGCGTCCCTCCGTAACCAGAGCTGCAGCTAAGTGAAGCTGATGAGATTGCTGCCAGGAATGCTGATGAGATTGCTGTCAGGAATGCTGATGAGAGCAGAGGTACTAAGCAACATATACGGCAAGACCGCATGCTTGCTGGAGAGACATTTGTTTCGTGGAGAGACATTTGTTTCGTTCAGAGTCACCAGCGGATGAAAAGCAGACCCGGGTCGGTAAGATCGTGCACGCACCTCATTTCAGTATTGGCGCCTTGAGACTGAGTCCAGGCCTATAGTTAGTTAGTTAAGGTTTCTGTTTGTGTCAGGCCACAAGTGTTGTTACTGATCATTGGAAAGACTCCACAACGTAAAGTGATATTTCACATTGGAGAGCTGATAAAATCCTACAAACTCAAGCCAGACTGGTGTTTTGCTCAGAACGAATACTCAGGCACGTGCTACAGGACCAGTTATGGGAGAGGGAATACTGTAGATTTGTGTAAGATTGTAAGCTGTTGTGCTGCACCGCAGCTAGCCCATATCATACACCCATACACTGATTCCTGCTCTTTTAGGGTAATAACAGGTAAGGTGTGGCAGCTTAGTTGTGCCCGCCAGTAGGTAAATTACTTCACTTTCTACCTTCATCCATCAGAAGGCGCCGTGCTGTGCAGCACAAGGGTCTCAGCCTTTGGGCTGGGTGTATGTAAATTTATTGTATGTTTCCAGCATTTGTGGTTGTGTTTATTTGCCACATCTAAGTAAAATTCTGTTGTGACAAAAGCTGGTGTTGGGGTTGCTTTCCTCGTTCGTGACTTCACTGTATCCTGGGGAGCCCACCCCGGTACATGGCTTACAATGGTATAACTGATCCCCAATAAAATCCCACCAACCACATCTCAGAAGGTGAGATCACAGTGCTATCACTCTATATTCCCAGAGCAAGCATTGTCTAGGAGAAATAGCATGAGAACCCAGAACATCACAGGATGTATATAATGTAATCTGCACATAAGAACATCTCTCTCCCACAGCTCGGTGTGACACTAAGTATTGTGTCCACTCTGCTCACAAGGCAGGGAAGTGAGGGGTGAGAGGAACACAACCCACTCTGATCACACGGTAGGGAAGTGAGGGGTGATAGGAATACACTAGCTCTACTCACATGGCAGGGAAGAGAAGGGTGAGAGGAACACAACGCCCTCTGCTCACACAAGAGGGAAGTGAGGGTGAGAGGAACACAACCTGCTCTACTCACATGGCAGGGAAGTGAGGGGTGAAAGAAACACAGCCCACTCTGCTAACATGGCAAGAAAGCAAGGGGTGAGAGCTGGCTGCTGCATAACACACAGAAGTCCTGGCTCTGTCACTTAGTCCTTAAAGTATAACTAAAAGAACTAAAGGCAAAACTTTTTAATTTTTAGATAGAGTGGAGATTAATTACAACTCTTGTCAGATTCATTGTCTCTATTTGTAATGTTTAGTGCTATCAATGAAAGTGAAAGTAAAAGTAAAAGAAAATTCCTAATTTTGGGCTGTTTCGGAGAACAGGTTTAAAGGGGAAATCTTCCAGTGGGAACACTAGTTCTGGTGACAAGAAGAATTCCTTCACTTTGGAGCATTTTCCTCTCACTTCCTGTTTTGGCTATTGGACAGGAAGTGAATTAAAATCTCCCCAAAGGGCCACCAATAGCAAAGGAATTCCCAGATAGGGGTTCTAACCTTCCTGTACTCTAAGTTTGTCCCTTAGTTCTACTTTAACCCCAGTGATAGGGAGTTGGAGTACAGAACAGTGATATTTCATTATGAATAAGAAATGGGAACATGTGAAGGAGCATCACTTCCTGCACTCCTGCTCCTTAACACAGCGCCTCTCCCTGGTGCCTTCCGGAAAGGATTAGTAAGAGGGCCCCTGGCCAATGTCTGCACTGGAAGCCAAGTCATATAGTCATAGCAATGCTTACTAAGGACAGTGTAAATCTGTTTTATGTGCTTCTAGTAGACAAATGGGTTCCCTATTCTGGCATCTGCTCTACATATTATAGGTGATCTCTTCCTGAGATGTGCAGAACAGATTTCTATCCTAGTAAGTGGAATTAATAGTGAGTACTATCAATACAGAATGTTTTTGTAGTATCTGGTGTAGGAAGAAGAGGAAGTAGAAGCGGGCCTGTCTATAAAGAGGGGCAAAAGGGGCAGCTACTTTGGGCCCAGTCATTGTTGTGGGGCCCATATTTGCCAACTGTCCCAGTTTACATTCCCTTGTCCCTTGAAGTCTTTGTCCCACACTGTGCCTGATATCTCAGTGTGAAATGCTGTCACTTATGCTGCCCAGCTCTGTCCTATTGCCATGACTCATATGCAGACCCTGCCATCATTCACCTGCAAATAAATGGCATTCATATGTAAAAAGAGGCGAGTCAGCAGCATTGATATGTAAATAGCGGGCATTCATATGTAAATGTAAGCTGCATTCATATGTGTATGCGAGGACATTTAGGATGCAAAGGTGTACTCACAGGGTGGATAAAGATGTGTAGGGCAGCCCATTCATTTCAATGGACTGCTTTCTGCGCTAGAAATGTGGAAATAATGTCTCTGGCCCTTTTTCAAAATCATACCGAGCTACCGTGATTTTTGGAGCATGTGGAAACGTGCATGTCAGCAGATGCAAAGAGTGTAATTAACAAATAATGGTACTTCTGTGTATCTGCTAAAGGGCAGCACATTTCTGTGGTGTTAGGAAAGCGATTGCGCATGCGCTCCCTAACTTGCATTTGTGGTCAGTGTTGAATCCTCCTTTACATTGGTGGGCCATGTAGGAGCCCCCTTTAAATTGGTGGTCAGTGTAAATTCCTCCTTACATTGGTGGCCAGTGTAGACATTTATTAGTTGTTGGTGTAAAATCCCCCATTACATGTGTGAAGTGTAAATTTTTCACTACATTTGTCCTAAATACAAATTCCTCATTACATTGGTGGTAAGTGTAAATTTCTCTTTACATTGGTGTGAAGTGTAGAATTTCCCTTACATTGGTGGTCAGTGTAAATCCCCTCTTACATTGGTGGTTGATGTAGAAATGTCACCTCCCATCCCCATCCAGCACTGCTACTGATCCTATCAAACCCAAGCATTGCCACTGATCCCATCCCCCCAAGTACTGCCACTGATCCCATCCCCCCCACCAGCACTGTCACTCATTTCAACCCCCAGCACTACCACTTATCCCATCCCCCCAACACTGTCACTGATCCCATCCCCCCACCACTGCCACTGATCTCATCAACCCCCCAGCACTGCCACTTATCACACCCAACCTCCTAGCACTGCCACTGTTTCCAGGAGTCCTAGGATCCCTAGAAGTTTTCTGTCTATTAGTGGGTCCCATCACCTTCCCAGTCCATGGTGTGCAGGCAGTGAGGAGATAATGTGCCATAACTTTCAGCAACCTATCAGTGAGATGTAATTAAGTGATGTAACCTCTGGCAACCAATCAGTGAGCTGTAATGATGAGCTGTAACCTCTAGCAATCAATATGTAAGTGGTATGATGCACTGTAACCAATAGCAACTAATCAGTGAGCAGTAATAATGGGCAGTAACTTCTAGCAACCAATCAGTGAACAGTAGTGATCTTCTGTAATCTCTAGCAACCAATCAGTGAGCAATAATGATGTGCAATAACCTCTAGCAACCAATCACTGACCAGTAATGATGTGCAGTAACCTCTAGCAACCAATCAGCAAGCAGTAATGATGTACAGTAACCTCTAGCAAGCAATCAGCAAGCAGAAATCATGTGCTGTAACCTCTAGCAACTAATCAGTGAGCCGTAATGTGTGCTGTAATCTCTACCAACCAGTCAGTGAGCTGTAATAATATGCTTTAACCTCAGGTAACCGATTGCAATTGCTGTCTGAGCCGCTAAATAAACTGATTTTGAGTCTAGCTGCTACTTATTGTATGTCTCAGAGCAGGTGGAGAGCAAAATTGCATGGGAGGGGGGCATGAAAATGTTTGCCCGGGGTCAAATCAATATTAAAGGTGACCTTGAGTAGAAGACTGTGTTAGGTTCTGGAGCAGGTGATGAAGGGTCTGTAGAGTACATACCAGAAGAAGAGTTCAAACAGACTCTAACAATGAAACATTATACTACTTACCTGTCATGCGGCCTACAACTACCAGAACCTTAACACTCCCTTCCAGGTTGCTGGTAAAGTAAAACTTTTTTCATTCTGGATAGAGTAAGGGAGGGTTATAACCCCTGTCTTTTTTTATCTGCCATCTGTGTCTCATTAATGAGATTTCCCTTCACTCCCTGTCCCATAACCAAAATTAGAAGTGAGAGAAAATCCCCGCAAAGTAAGTTTGTCACCAGAACTAGTGTCCTCATTGGGAGCTTTCCCCTCTATTCCTGTTTTGGTGACAACCCAAA